GAGTTTAATGATAATAATTTGTGGTGATGGGATTCTGACGACAGGAAAACCACGAATGTTGTATATAAAGAAGTGTTTAATAATATTTATATTCACTTTTTTAAATTATTTTTTTTCTAATTTATTAAATTATGATTTTTGTTTTATTCTATGTTTTTAATTATTTTTCTTCTATTATATCTCTTTTCGTGCAAATGCACGGGGTAAAACTAGTTCAATGGAATTACACAGAAAGAGTAATAAATATATATATATATATGTATATATATTTATATATATATAATTGTTGGCTAATAGCATTTAATAAAAATCATTTCGATTTTCCTCCAAAAACCGTTACAAACTTTATCATTTATATCTCTCTCTATATTTTTTTTTTCCCGAAACTAATAACTATAGTTTACACTAAATGATATATGAAAATTACATAAACATAAAAAAATATTGTAAACTTTTTGCTAAATTTATTTATTCTAAAATTAATATTATATTTTTTTTAATCTTATTTAGAGATTGTATTTTTAAATAAGTTAATTTATTATAATGTTATATTAAAATTCCTTAAAATCGCATAATCAAATGTTATAATAAATTTAATATTTTTAAGCTAATAAATTGACGATATCTCAAAATTACATTATTTATTATATTTTATGTAATTAATATAGTGGTTCATATACAACCAAATAGTTATTTACTATTTATTTTAACCAATGCTCAAATTTTAAAAAATAATATCATTATCTTGTTTATATTTTTATTATTATATGAATAAATATAACTTATAATACTCTATGTTTAAAATATAATATCATTGTGTAACTTGTAATTTTAATACTAGCATAAATATAACTTATAATATTCTATTTACATTTTGCAAATGCACAGGGTCCAATACTAGTAAATATTTAATAGTTGTACTATTTTGCATTAGCATTACCCACCCGCAGTTCCTATAAATTCTTATGGCTTTCTTTTGTTTTTGTTTTTGTTTTTTTTTTTTAGTACAATGAAAGAAGGCCAGAGGCCTTAGAAAAGTGATTAAGCTAGAACACAACGGGGGTAAGAAACCTCAATAAGATCATGCTGAAGTCATGCTCCCAAGCCAGGAGGGGGAGACGCGATCCAATGTAGCCCGACCGAAGAGGATGCCGCTAAGCTCGCCATATGATCCGCCGTAAAATTGGCTTCCCTATGAACGTGTTGGAGCTTAACGCTCCATTCCTGATCTAAAATGCTCTGAATGACTTGCCGGAAACCCAGCTCCCACGCCATAAGTAACCCCTGCAGGAGTCCCCATAGCTCGGCACCCGTAATAGTGCAGTAGCCAATGTTCATAAAGAAGTCGTCCTTCCATCTACCAAACTCGTCTCTGATCAAACCTCTGGCGTTGCTCAAACTAGTCGAGTTGTCGAAGGCCCCATCTGTATTTACCTTTACCCATCCCGTGTCCGGCGGGACCCAATGAATGAACCGGGAAATATATAAATTGGCTCTAACACGGATGTGAGAGCTGCCCGACTGTAGGTTTCTGTGAAATGAATAACTTCCAAATGCCTCGCGGTATTGCTCGAAGAAAGATGGTTGAAAATTATATCATTACGTCACGTCCATAAGCGCCACACAACAAAAGAGAACATGCTCCTCCATGCAAGAGACGATCCCAGATGCATAGTTTCCAGATTCTTTCAAATCCAGGGTTTGATAGGCAAAGAGAAGAACTCATGTACCTGGTCTAATGGAAGTAGCTGCGACCAAAAATCCCTGGCATCCCAGCAATTCCGTAAAACATGTAACGTCGACTCACATTCCCCACAAACATCACAAACCACCGAATTTTATGGCTTTCTTTTGGAATTAATATATAAACACTAGGACTAGGTTGCTCCCTCAGTGCTCTACATTTCCTTGTTATATAATACACCAACTTGACTGCCAGGTGCGGTTACAAACAAAATGGTTTTGATTAGCCAGATTTTTTTTTATCTGAATTATAATTAATACAAATTTTTAAGTTAAAATTTATTCAACTTTAATTTAGCCTACTCTATTTAATATTATAAATATAATTATTATGCAACAAAATCATCCATGTCTTGGGCCAGGCCATCAATGTCAAAGAATAACACAACTGGGTCTATTTTTTTTTTTTTTATCATGAGTTCACGAAAACAGGTCCAAGAAGACATGTCACCGTCCATGTCCCCTCTTGAATGTCGATCTGTCCCTATTCCTTCTCTTAAAAGATTGTCGATCTCTCTGTCATCTGAATACGAACTACAAAGCAAATTGTTAAAGCGACCGTCAATCAGTCTCATGATTATTTGTACTTTTTCTGTGTATAAATTCAACATAGAGGCTCAAAGCCAAACATGAATTTTTTTTTGAGAAAAATATATTCATATATATACACTACAATTTTTCCTTGGTCTATCTCTCTTGCAGATCGACAATCCCACATTATGTCGTTTAATTCCAGTTTCGAGCTTTTAGTTTACTCCAAACGTTGTCAATTTATTTGAGCCCCTTATTTATAGCAACAAATTGTTACATATTCCCTATTATCTCGCAATTAAGTCGCCTTAATATTGTGGCCGGAACGTCAACAAAATGGCACTAGAAGGATGGCGACAATCAGGGTTGACCTCTGAATCTCTCCCTATAAATAGTCATACTCTATGCAGACATATTCACAACCAAGAACACCATCTCCTGCCTCCCCTGATGGAGCGTCCCATATCCCGACCATAAGAAAAAGTGGAGCAACTGTCCCTCATATAATCTTTTTTCATCTCGATACTCTGCCCAAATAAAAAGCTTCGAAAGTTTTTTAGATACCGCCTTTTTTCCTCCTATCACCATAAAAAATTCTGCTCTACGACCCTTTATTAATCTCCATATTAGCCCACATTCGACAAGAATACGGATCAATTAGCTCACCCTCGATAAGAACGTTGAGAGATAGGAGACCTCTATCCTAGAGTAGCGACGACTTGTAACTAGCCGTGGGCCTTAAGATGACTCTGACAAGAATATCCTTTATGATTTCTTCTCAGATTTTTGTCTTTAGGTCTTCTAACCTTTAACCCAACATTCAAGTTGTTTAGTCGGGATGCCACTCTCTTGTTTTTTATCATGACAGTCCGAAGTTCATATCACCAAGATTGGTTGATGATAAAAATATGGGGTAGACCAGGCCAGTCACATCCCGAGGAGTAATCTAAGTCCTCGGGTCGAGATCAACAAAAAGCTCACAGGGAAATGTCGAAAACGCTAAGACTGTTTGAAACCAAAACGATCAGTGATAAAATACTCAAAGTTACTCTTTGATAAAAAGCTAAAACTTAGCTATGCCATTAAAAACATGAAGAAAAACATTCTTCACCTATCGAAATGGGTTAAAAGTCATGATCGAAGCAGATCATCAAACACCTCGAAAATTTTTTTTTTACTCGAGGTCAAATGCTCCTTAAAAAGATTACTAAAAATATGCCTTCATTAAAACAAAATTAGTACATAACCTTCCTCCCGAAACATAAGGGAAACAAAATCCTTGCTTGAACTAACAAACAACAAAACATAAAACATATATTGTCTTAAGGCCACACTCTACGAGATACAAAAGTAAAATTATATTATTTAGGGAGATTGCTCAACGATCACATGTCCACAGGGGGATCAACAACTATATCTGCCTTCTTGTCTTTGTCGCTTCCTAGAGCAGTTTCTTGAGAAATCGAAGCCATTTCTATGCTTGGAGTAGTAGCATCATCTGAGGAAATCAACAATACCGTGGTCGAAACATGATCTAGTTGAGAGATCAACTCCGCACGAACAGGGGTCCCAACCTTTTATTCGACATTCGTCATTCATCAGATATTTTTATCTATATTCTTTTATTTTATTTTCGTTCGGTTATTGTATTATGAACTCATATTCGATAAATTTGTGTCTGAACGTTTGAGTCTTAAATAGTTTAGTTTTTTACTATTTCACTAGTTGCATTTGAGGATTTTAATTGTACGGATATTTTTCTAATGAAATATTTTGTATTGTTGCCTTAGTCCACAAGTGTTCCTCACTTGTAGACTAAATTTAATTATTTGTATTCGTTTATTTCCACTGCGTATTTAAACAGTGTGTCTACAACATATACTCTAGTTTTCGTTGTGTATAGAATTAATTGTAGACTTCGTACGAGTACAAAAATGTAGATAAAGAAAATTTGTTGCCAATCAAATGGGGCCACTTGGAAATTAATATATTAAAAATCAAGTTATATTTTCTATTTATATTTTAGGAATTTCCATAAATTTAATTCTTAAAAATTAAATAGTTAATTAATTGGTATTTTGATATTTTAATTCCTCACCAATCAATGCCAAGTGTCAAATCTTATTTCTTGGTAAATAAATTGCATGTATTCTAAAGATCTTGGTAGATTAGATTCTTAAATTTGGTAGGATTCTCTCTCCAACACCTATAAATAGGGACACTCCAAAATACACATGCACACACTACACAATTCATATTCAAGTTCAAGATCTCTAAAAATTCTCTCAACGAGATTCAAGTGTTCTTGAAGATTCAATGGTGTTCTTGAAGATTCGAAGCAAGATTCAAGCGCGTTCAACATCAAGACTGACGTTTAATTCGAAAACACGTTGACAAGCTTCCGAATTACGTTAGTAAACTCAAAACCAGTGTGGAGAAGATCTAAGATTGACTTTGGGTCGAAGAACAAGGACTCGTGTTCTTCAAGTTTTTGAGATATTACGGTGTTTGATTCGAAATCAAGGTGTTGGCCCTCGGATTAATATTAATTTAAGTCAAATCAAGTTAAGGAGAAGATCAAGCCGAAGATTTTGCTATAAGACTCAAAATCGTGGGTGGGAAGAATCAGATGAGAAAATAAAGACTGTAATCCACAATATTTATTTCATTCGAGAAATTCATTTGTAAAATTTTGGTCGTGTTTATAAATTCAATAAACGAAATTTGTTGTAACAATAAAATCCAACGATCATAAGGGACACCAATGACTCCATGTATACGAACCAAATAGTAATTTTGTTTAAGAGGACCAATAGTGGTTCACCACTTACCTCCTGCATGACTCGAACTCGAGACCTGACGATTTCAAGTGAAGAGTGTTACTAACTGAGCTACCCCTTCTCGTCAAACCACATAGTAATTTTGACTAGTAAGATATCTGATGCCTCTTATCACTTGAAGCTCATCTGTCATGCCTCCACTCAGACTAACAATGCTACACACTTTGGAATAGTAAACCATGACACAAACTTTGTAGTACAAAATTGCAACATTACAATCAAGAAGGTCAACACAAACCACTGAGAAATGTAAAGTTATAGAAGCTAGAAAATTTTGTAAAATGTTTGTTGAAAGGAATGAATAATTATTCGGATAATACAAGTTGACCAGATTTTTGCAAGTCGTTAGAATACATAAGTACGAGAGATAAATAAAAGAAGCAAATTGACAATGAAACAGCGCAAGTTGTAAATTACAAAGTTTCCTCTCCAGATAGTGGAACATGAGACCTAACAATAAAGAAAGTCTCATAGATATAGCCAGCCAGCCCACCCCCGATAAGCGGCCCAACCCAGTAAATCCAATGGTCCGTCCAATCACCGCTGACCAGCGCCGGCCCAAATGATCTCGCTGGGTTCATCGAGGCTCCGGAAAAGGGCCCACCAGCCATGATGTTGGCGCCAACAACAAGCCCAGTGAGAAGTGGGCCCAGCCCTTCAAGATTACCCTTCTTGGGGTCCACAATAGTGGCGTAAACAGTGAAGAGCAGGGAAAATGTCAAAATAATCTCCATAATCAACCCTTGTATGGACCCCACTCCACTTGCAAGTGAGTGTATCGGTGTTGTCTGCAAAATTTGTTTGTAAACAAACAAAAACAACATCATCACAACAGAATCTCGTCAATTATTACTCTTCTTTTCATGAATAAAAAATAGCAATTTTCTCCACTTCACATGCGTCTAGTCTTGTAAATATAAAGTAAACCAATCAATTCTTCAGATGAAGGAATTCTTCGCAATAAAAAACTGAGTAAACAAATAATACAGCTAATGTTGCTTCTCTTTTTTTTTTTGAATATAAGAGTATTAAAAATAAAATATGAATATATTTATAGACTTACTAGGCCACCAGTGACATAATTGAGCAAAGCACATGCTGCCACCGAAGCTAGCAATTGATCTATCCAATAAAGTAAAGACCTGATGACGGTGATGTGTCCGCCGGCACATAGGCCTAAGGTGACGGCCGGATTGAGGTGGCCGCCGGAAATGCGAAAACCGGCGGAGATCATAACCGCCACCACTAAGGCATGGGCCATCGCCACAAAGAATAAGCCCACTAGTGGATTCCCATTCAGCTTATCTGCATATCCACAAATTTCAAGCACATTCAAGTTTACACATATTCAATATATCAAAATATTTCAACAACTTGGGTGATTATTTATATGGAAAATATATGCAAATTAAATCCATAATGGTATCTACACTTTTTAAATTCATAACAAGTTGATACCTTCTTTATTCAAAATTATAAGTTTAGTGATCCCTTTAATTGAATTATATTAAGACAACTGTACAGATTTAATTTGCATATGTTGTCCATTTAAATATTTCTAACATTTCGATCTAAGGCATTAATTAATATATGATGTACGAATCCGATTTAAGATTTATATATAATGTTTCATATTACAGTTATGTTTGGTAAAACTAGCTGATAAGCTAGCTTATAGCTAATCAGTATTTTTTGAGCTTATAGCTTTTATAACTTATGACTTATATAGCTAAAAAACTAGCTTATATGATAAAAGTGTTTGGTAAAATTAGCTGATAAACTAGTTGAAATAAAAATTTCATCGGGCTTATTTGAAAAGCTACCCAAAGAAGCTTATGAGATAAGTTCGAATTTTTTAAAAAAACTCGTCCTATCAAACGAAACTTATTTAAATACAGGAAGCTTACAAGCTAACAAAATAAATTATAAACTAGCTTATTGGTCTACCAAACATAGAGGTAGTGCATGCATGATGGTAATATTATTCTTATACGATTTGTGAGTTACTTATTATTATAAAAGATTCATATATATAAGATAAAATAAAATGCAGGCAAAGTAAGTCACCGGAGGCCATGGCGGCACCAACACCGGCGAAGACAAAGAGGAAGGTGGAGATGAACTCGACCACTAAGGCATGAAGGCAGTCCTGCTGGTAGCCCTCCCGAACCGTACCCACCGCAATCCTCGCCATCACTAAATTTTATAAATGTTGTAAAATGACAAGGATTTTTTTTTTTTTTTTTTTTGAGCGATCACTTGTTAATATGGTGTTAGCTAGCTATAGAAAAGTGTATTTATAGGGAAGAAGTGCACATGTAGTGTACATTGGCATTCCTAGGTGTTTACTGAGAAAGGGGAGGACCCAGCAAAGCTCCGGTGGGCTCCAACAACACCTTAATATTTAATTTTATTTTATCTAAATTTAATTATTATTATAACTCGCTTTTATCCAATTATTATGTTTGTGTTACTTCTATCATACAACTACAAAACATTAATTATGTTCAAATATCGCTTTAAGCAAAATTAATAAATTATATATTGGTAAATTTGCCCTTAATATCACGACCTTTATCGGTTGCAATTTAATCATGACATTTTCACTTTTGTAAAGTATATCACAATCTTTAGTTTGTTGCAAACAGTCTAAAAACAGTCATAGAAGAGCTGATGTGGTCGAACAACAAATTGAAGATTGTGATATAGTTTGCACAGGATATGTAAATCGGTGCATCAATTTGCAACAAACTGAAGATTGTGATATAATTTGCAAAAATGAAAAAGTCGTGATTAAATTGTAATTTTGAAAAGGTCACGATATTAAGTGCAATTTTGCCTTATATATTTAAATCAATGATGTTAGTCTTTTATGCATTTCTATTGATTTTTATATATTAATTTTCCATTTACTCTTTTTTGTTTTCTTTCTGTTTGAGTTAGACTTCGCTGTCAATAGACAACAATGTTTCCATTGACTTTAGGGCTTACTGTATCCCTATTGGTCAGGCTGCTTCAAATACGATTTTAAAATTATTAAAGTTGATGGATTCATGAATGTAGAGCATGTTCAACAGCCGNAAAAAAAAAAAGTTGGAAAATGTTACACTTTCTCCAATTATTGATAACATTTTGTAAACTAATAAAGTACACAGTACCATATACGTGATACATAATCTATATTTTATTATAGTTTTAAATTATATTATTTTTTTTATACTTTTATGATCTATTCAAATTTTTTATTATTTTTAATTAATCAAACAAAAAAAAGTATATTGCTAAATGAATTGTGTCAAATATATTAAAAGTTGATAAACAAGTTTCAAATATTATATTTCAAAGTCATGGTGAAAAAGAATGAATAAAAATTAGAGTCGACAAACCTTCATTATCTACGTTAGTCATTTTTATTCAAAAAAAATTTTGTTTTGAGGAAGATTGAAAAATATGTAGAGTAAACTCAAAATTGAAATATTTTACAGGAATAGTTGCATGTGATAGTTGAAATTTTGTCTTATTATCTTATTGAAGAAGATAATTCTTTGTCATTATTTTTATTGACTAATTAATACTATTATAATTCAATTGATATATGTTAGCAAAATTTTAAATATTTTCATATTATCTTCACTTTTACGTTCAATTACTTTTATTTAACAGAATTTTATTTGTTATTATTCATACTTATAAATCTACTATAAATTATATTTTTATCCTTTTTACTCCTAGTTGTAATTATAATACTACTATTATATATACATCAAATATAGAAGATATTTTAAGCAATTATCATTCATCTATTTGGCAATATGTATTCCCATTCAATTTTTTTGAATGTTATTCATTGTTCTATTATAGAGTAGTTTTTATCATTATATTTCGGTTAATAAGTTTTTGTTGCTTTTTAAAAATATACTATTTTGATAAAAATATTATTTAAAATAATTGTTAAACTTTACTTTAATGAAATATACCTTTTAACTAAACTGTGTCGTACATAATTTATAGACTCATAGTATAGCAAAAATAAAATTTGATATTAGTTAACATTATTATTTTTCCTAATCAATTAGTTATTGTGTTCCAATATTTTAATTCTAGCAATTAAATCTAAATATGAACAAAAATAATAAAAATAATATGTTTTTTATTTATATGCCATGTTATTTGTTTCGTATAAATTTTATATAATTATGTTATACATTTTTTTTTAATTATGACATGTAGTTATGTAGTTAGTAATATGAAAATAATATACATTCAGAATTGTAACAAAATTTTATTATAATACTTTATACTTAATAATGTATGTTGGAAAATCGAGAATAGTACTTCCCTACTTTTTTTATTTATTTCACATAATATTTAAGAATATATTTTAATGCAATACAATCTTATTGAAAAAGTTTGCATCTCCTTTATTATTTTTTCCTTCACTAATAAATTAATATTTTATTTACATATATAAATCTTTTTTGTTTAGGTTTTAATTGGAGAGAGTTTTGTCTTTGTTAGAATCCTATTTTATAGAGATATTTAAATAAGATTATAATTCATTGAGATACTTAATTAATAATTATTAAAGTTTTTCCATTAAAAATAATATAAGTATAGATATTTTTTAGTCTGTACAATTTTTTATAAAATCATTCCTCCTTTTATAATAGTATAGATTATATCTTATAACTCTATTACTTTTATAGCTTTATTTTGAGCAAATATTATTATTATGCAGATTATTTCTATCTTTCTAATATATATCTGGACTTGTATTTCTCTACCTTGTTCAATTAATTGAGCCATTTATTTATTTTTTTACCACTACTTTTAGATAATTTCCAAAAACATATATTTTTTTTTTGCACTTTTTCCAAAAACATAATTAATCATTCAGAACATGTGCGAATTAAATGTATAACAAGTTAAAAAGCAGTTTCCACTGTGACTGGATGATATTGTTACCTAACTCAGTAATAAAAAAAAAATATATTATCATTGCTATTTATTTATCCATAAAATTCATTATTTATCTATTCAAATAGTTATAATCATCTATTATTATCTTTGTTAGATTTTGACTTATTTGTCCTACATCGCATGTGCACTAAAGATGTATAGAATCATTTTAGTATTAATAACACTACAAGAAAATGATGAAATTCCAACGAAAATATATTTCAATAGAATTCCAACGGCAATTCCAATAGATATTTCAATGTTATTATTTTTATTGGAATTACGAAAATTTTTACAAAAATATTCCGTTGGAATGAGTTTTCCATTGAAATTTCAGTTGAATTTTGACGATTCCAACGGTAGATTTTCCAACGGTGGTGGAAATAAAAATTCCAACGGAAATTCCTACGATCAAAAGCCGTTGGAAATATAGCCGTTGGAATCATCAAATTCCATCTAAAATTCCAATAAAAAATACATTCCAACGGAATATTTTCGTTGGAATTTCTTTTGGAATCATTCCAATGGAAGCTATACCATTGGAATATCCGTTGGAATTTTCATTGGAATATAGTACCATAGGATTTTCCGTTGGAATATAACATTTTTTTGTAGTGTAAGTTTTATTTCCTTTGACTTACATTTGCACTATATTTTCTTCTCTCATATCTTAGAAGAAAATCATTAATAAAAAAAAATCTTAATTTATGGGTTATTTAACCCTAGTTGTATTTTGATGGTGATTTTAGTGAATTTGGCGTTGTGGTACCTGGAGACGTAGCCAATATTGACCGAACTCCCTTTACTTATTTTTGTTTGTACTAATGCTTGCTATTATTTGTCGTAGGGGTATTTGTGTCTGTCGTGCTTCATGTGATACCCCTAACAATAAGTGGTATCAGAGCTGAAGGTTCGCCCTAGGCTCTTTCGGTGAGTCGAGCATTGCATTCGAGTTCAAGATGGCCAATGAGACCAAAGAAGCATCATCATCTGCACTCATTCCGACATAGACGGTGATGTTGAACTCAGAGTCCTGACGGATTATCTGCGGGACGGTGATGCCTAAATTAGACTCCCGGTGTATTATTTTCGATCAGACATGTCATTTTGACATGTAGCAAAACGATGTCTTGGATTGTCTCTTTCAGCAAGACATCGACATTGCCATTAAAAAAGAGAGGTCAGTAAATGTTAACGAGAAAGACTAGACAAATATCAACCTCTTAGCATGTGGAACAAGCGGCTCGTGTTTATCAAATCAAAAGTACACGCTCAAGAATGACAATCCTGATGAAAGTAGTGATTGTTTTGATCTGATTACCGGCATGGAACATTGATGAATGACCACGTCACTGCATTAAATCAATTTGTTGTAGATTTGTTGAACTTGGATGTCTCATTCAATGATGAAGATTTGACTCTGATATTGTTATCAACTCTTCCCGATGATGTCGAGCACTTAGAGAGCACCCTGTTCCATGGGAAGGATGGTGTAAGTTTTGCAGTGGTCAGTTCTGCTCTGTATACATATGAGTTGAGGAAGAAGAACAAACAAGAGAAGAAGAATGCAACAACAAAAAATGAAGTGTTGGTTGCAAGAGGTCGGTCGAAGTCAAAGAAGATAACAAGGAGGATCACGTTCCAACGCCAAGTTTGAAAAAGAATATTGTACTTTCTGCCACGAGAAAGGAGACTGATAGAAAGATTGCCCGAAGTTGAAGAAGAAAGTCAAATTTCATCAAGATGTAATGTTTCCGAGGGTGGAAGAGAAGACTAAGAGAAAGGGTTCTTACATTTTCGGCATAAGAATCCACTATCTAAGGACATGACTCCAAAGACACCTAAAGAAATATAGGACATGAGAGGGATTCCTCATGCATCGATAATAAGAAGTCTCATGTATGCAATGCTGTGTATGAGGCCAAATATCTGCTATGCACTAGTCATGGTGAGTAGATATCAAAGTAACCTGGGACAGGGTCATTGGACCGTGGTGAAGCATATACTCGGGTACCTGAAGAGGACCAAGGACTATATGTTGGTCTACTGTTCAGACCAATTGATCCTTGTGGGTTACACGAATGATGACTTACACTCAGACTGGGACAAAAGTAAATCTACCTCTGGGTTTGTGTTTACTCTGGAAGTTGGATCCAAATAGAAGAGCGTGACAGACTCCACCAAGGAAGCTGAGCACGTCACAACTTCTGAAGCAGCGAAAGAGGCAGTATGGCCAAGAACTTCTTGTTGGACGTGGATGAGGTGCCAAGTTAACCATGAGGTATTGCAG